ATATATATATATATATATATATAATTTTGTAAACATATTCTTTTCTTAAATTCCTTTAGAACAAAATGTAAATGCCAATATTGTGTATTATAAAGAAGGAGATGAGAATTGAATAGAAAACAGACGATTTCCGAGAGCACATATCACTTCAACAGCTTCCCAAACCTCTTTTCCATGCTCAATAATTTATCCCTTCTAATTTCTCTTATTTTCCCTTTCTTCCTCCCTTTCTTCACTTTCTACCTAGCATATTATCATCCTCTAATTGGGCTTTCTCATGCCCAATTCATGAGTAGAACTTTCTTGTACTTCTTTTTCCTTTTATGTGATATGCTCGAAGAGTTGTTTATGAAAGAGATGTAAAGGAAAATTAAGGAAAATGATAGCAAATGTATTCAAATCCAGTATAAAGTTTTTGCGTAAAATAAAAAGTTGCATTCAACAGTTTGCTTTTGTTTATATCAGTACAATCATGTGGATAGACATCCTTTTATAGATATATCTCTTTTGTTTTTTCGGGGCAATATGTTTATTATTTCTATCTTTCAAAATAAATAAATAAATAGTGCTATTGAAAAACATTAGATAAAGTATCTAAATACCAGAATGAATAAAAAAAAATAATGAGTTAAATATGATAATACCTGTTTTGGTTTCAAGAAAATCCCTTCCAAAATAAATACAGAGTGAAAATGCAAGCAACAGTAATTAAGGCTTTGTTCTCATTTTAAAAATCTAAGCAACAATTTTTCTCTTCTTATTTGAAAAGGGAGCACCGATTAGGAACTAAAAATAGGAACCCTTAGTCAAACTTGGGAATGGTTGTGATCATTAGTGAAAGGGTACGAAGTTATGAACCTTTGGTTGGGGCCGTTGGCAGGCTTTATTTTTTTTTTTAGTTTTTATAAATAGGGTAATTAGATTATTTAGAAGGGCATTTTAGTAATTTAATTTTTTAGTTAAAGGGTTCCCACCTCTGCAATAATATAGATAGATAAGTATACATATGTTGTTGTTGCTAAAACTTAAGTATTAATATAGCACTATATCTTATAGAACTATACACTTTATTCTTAAATGTGTTATATTAAGTTTTAATCGAATATAATTGAATTTTCAATTGATCCACTGATGAAATATCCGAGTAAAGTACTAATAAGATAATCGAGAATAAAACATTCAAGACTATGTGAGTGTATGTATATATATATATATATATATGTGTGTGTGTGTGCGCGCGCGCGCGCGCGATTTCGGTCGGTAAATTATATATATATATAATTTTTGTTATGGAAAAAATTAATTGATCCTGAGCGGGAAAAAATCAAATTTCCGACCGATTTCGGTCGGTATACTTGAAATTCTTTAATTAAAACTTATTTTAGTACATAATATGCAAGTATGATCAGGTCTTGATCAAAGATTTACCAATTTCCGACCGATATCTGTCGAAATTTTTATGTGTCAGACGTTTTTGTTGTGGGATCACTATTACCGACCGATGGTGGTCGGTATCTTTGTGTGAAATTTTTAATTCTTTGACTTTTGCGATCAATTTATCTATTTTTCGACCGATTTTGGTCGATTTTTCTTCCGACCGATTTCGGTCGGTATTCTGTGGACGATTTTTGATAATTTTCTAGTAGTGTGTATAACTAGTAGCTTGCCTTAAGTTCAAAATAAAAAATCTTTACATTATTTGGTGTATATAAGTTAACTATTCCATTATATCGAGGAGTGTCATGACGTGCTATGGTATGTGATAACCTTCTGACCAAGTAATAATCTCCTAATGTTGGCTAAAATACTCCCTAGTAAATAAAATAATAGGCAGAACTTAATTAAAATGGGTATCTGCAGCTTTTCTCTTCACACCCTTAAACATTTACAAGCATATGTATTTTTTACGAGGCATGGAGGTGTCCTCTAAGTTACTGCTAACCCATCGTATCTTTATCTATTTGTGTATATCTCAACTAGTCTAGTTAATTACCACGTAGACTTATACCTACAGGGATTGCTTGTGGCGGCTAGGTTCAGTTTACATTGCTTTACAGAAAACATATCTGTTCTTGTCAACCTATTTTTTTTGTCCGTTGCAAAAGTAATGATCCCTTTTTAAATTTGAAAATAATTTTAGCTTAAATTTTTAATTCTACCATTAATAAAAAGCTTTTATAACCACACAAATACTCTGAACCCCTTTTTGACTTGTTTAGGACCACAAATTTCAAAAATCTTTATTTTTTCTTAAACTCCGTACCTAATCAAACAGGTTCATAAATTGGAACGAGGGAATATAAAGTATACGACTAAGCTTAGGTTGGTAGAGTCCTAACTGGTCAGGTTCAATTAGTCTTTCATCCCTCCTCAAGCTGGTGTTAGGATTGCACACAACACCCGGCTTGGTTCTTAAAGTTCAAAACTAAAGCTTCGGCAATGGTTTTGTGAATATGCACTAATAAAAATCGCCTCTTTACCGGCGTCAATTACCGACGGACGTCCCTCGGTAACAAGGCTTTACCGACGAAAGTCTGTCGGTAAGTAGTTGGTAGGTAAATCCTTCCTCTGTAAAATAAACCGACAAAATCCGTCGGTAATTACCGATGGACCCCATCGGAAAGCCATCGGTACATTTCTGATAGTGGTTGGTCAAATAATTTTACTTACCGATAGATATCTGTGGGTATATTATAAAATAATATAATATTAATAATATCAATACCGACGGATGTCCGTCGGTAAATTAAAAATAATAATTTAATAATACCGACGGACACCATCAGTAAGTTTAGAATTTTAATTTAGTAATTTAAAAATTAAAAATATGAATAAATTTATATTCCGATGGTATCTGTCGGTAATTTCAATAAAATTTAAAAATTTGGTTCAAGACTACCGACGGACTCCCTCGCTAATTAATAATGCTGGATTGAAAATGAATAATTGTTCCGACGGACTCTGTCGGTAAGTCCCTCGGTAAATCTGGTACATTTTTGCGAGAGAGTACCTATTTTTTGCTGCACCACCTGCCAGCCAGAATATTATAATAGACCTACCAGCTAGAACATTACAATACAAACAAAAATGCAACCACAATAAAACTCTAACTTAACAACAACAAAACTTTATAAACTATCCAAACATCCAAATTATCCCATCAAATATCAAAACTATCCAACCAAACTTCAAAATGTAACATTCAAAGTTAACATCCAACTAAACAATAATCCAACCAAACATAAAATCACTCCTCGTCTTCGGATTCCCCCTCATCTTCTTCATCATTTATATTATTTCCATCACTTTCATCCTCTTCATGAATGTGGCTTTTTGGCGGAGAGCGAGGCAGACCGATTAAGTGGTTCACTTGAGCCTTGAGGGAGTCGATGTCATTCTTAAGTGCGTCTCTGATCCTTTCTTCATGCTTTCTTTTTTCTCGTTCATCCGCATAGTTCCTAGAAAGCTATTGAATCGTTCGCCGCATCTCCTCAAGGTCCTCATTTTGCATGGTGGCGGATGTCCCAATACCTTGTAAACCACAAAAGAGAAGTGAAAAAAATACACGAAGAGTTAGAATTGAATAATTCAGCACCTAACTTCATAAACTTCAACTAGGGAACATCGACTACCATACATACCATGAAGTAGAAACTTCGGTTAAGTTTTGAGAAGCATATTACTTTCACTAGATATAGGGATACTCTTAATATGGTAGAGAACATCTTCAACTACTTAAAACTAACTAGTTCAATTAATTCTTATGATATGGAGGGAGTAGATTTTGTAACAGGCAAGTTGATAAATTTGAAATTGCTCTAACAAAACGTAACTATTAACACTAGAAAAACTAAAGTTGTCTAACTTTTCCCATAAAGAGTGATCAACATTGTCAACAAATTGTAAATGGAAGTTGTCCAACCATTTGATTCCTAGTGATGCTAAATTTCTACTATGACTTGGAGTCGAATGTTATAAATCAATTTGGTGACCAAGCAAACTCTGGGTCAAAAGAGTGCACTAGTAACTCCCTCTTAAACACCTTTAGCATTTCAGCCTCTCTGACCACAAAAAGAATTTGTATCTCCTGTGTCTTTCTTATACCTCTAAAAATCCAATTTGTCCTTACTAATAACAGACTCGAGGCTACAAATCTTATGAAAATGCAACTTTTAATCAGTTATGTGTAGATATTGAGTGACATCACGATAGTACAATAGATTCAGATTCTTTATACAAAGTGTATCTCTAAGGGTTCTCACAGAAGACTTAAAACATTTAGCTGGAAAGGATAGCCAATAAAGTAGTATTTGCAAACCTTAGAGTTTCTTAACAAAAAGAAGAGCTTATTAACCAAAAAGTATATACCTTGTAGTCTACATGCGAGGCGATGAAAATTGCACTCGGAGGAAAGGTCGTATGCTCTACCCTTATACACGCCTCCAACCACGTTCAACCATAATGGGAGAGTTTCTTCCTCCGATGGCATGATTGACTGGCCTTGCTCATCGGGCGACTGACTCCTAGCGAGCTCTTCTACTGCTTGTTTATACCGAATGCATTCCGCATACCCCTAAACTCATGATCAACTGGTAAGAACTGACGGTGACAATCAAACCATGAATTCTTACCCCCATGTTTTAAAGTAAACGCTTTAGTATTTTTCATACAATAAGGACAAGCTAACTTTCCTGCAGTCATCCATCCTGACAATATTCCATATGCGGGAAAATCATTTATAGTCCACATCAAAGCAGCACGTAAGTTGAAGTTTTGTTTAGTTGATATGTCATATGTTGCAACACCTTCATGCCATAAAATTTGTAATTCATGAATCAAAGGCTGCAAATATATATCAATCAAGCTCTTTGGATTCCGGGTACCAGGAATAATGCAAGTTAGGAACAAATATGGACTTGTCATACACATCTCAGGCGGAAGATTATACAGTGTGACAAAGACGGGCCAACATGAATATGGAGTAGCTGAGATAGAAAATGGTGTGAATCTATCAGCACACAAACCCAACCGAATGTTCCTTGGTTCATTAGCAAAATTCGGAAACACTCTATCAAAATGCTTCCACGCCTCTCCATCAGATGGATGACATAGAACAACAGGTGGCCTTTTATTTTCAAAGTGCCATCTCATGTGTGGAGCGGAACTCATAGATGCATACAACCTTTTTAGCCTTGGTATAAGAGGTAAATAATGCATAGACTTAACCGTAACCTTATTCCCGCTGGCAAGCTGTTTAAAGCGAGACATTCCACGAAATTTACAATTCTCTAAAATTGCATCATCCTTATAGTACAACATGCAACTCTTTTCACAACAATCAATTCTCTCTAAAGAAAGTCCTAACTTGGAAGCCAATCTCTTTGCCTTATAGTAATCATCTGGTATGTCTAGGTTCGGATTAAGTTCTTTCATAAGCTCAATCATAGAGTCCATGCCCGTTTGAGAAACACTGGCATCTGATTTAATACTTAGTAGTCTAGTCGCTACAGACAACTTAGAGTGCGACATGCCGTCGGAAAGTGGACGACTAGCAGACTCTAACCGTGCATAAAAATGATTTGCCTCTTCATTGGGAGCTTGATCAACATATTGTTGGTTCTCACCCTCATTATACATTCCCAAAGCATTCATAACCATTTCATATAATCTAGGATCTTGACTACTTTCACCAATATCAAAATTATGGTTATAAATATTACCATCACTACCCTCAGTCTCTCCATGACTAGTCCACACATAGTAATTATCCATAAAGCCCTTACTATATAGATCAATCTTAACATCCTCTAGTTTCAACTATTTTCTACACTTGCATTTCCGCACAAGGGCAACTAATCATCCCCTTATTTTGGCTAAATGACTAATTAATAAACTCATCAACACCTTGTACAAATTCATCTCTTAAACCCCGCCGATTAGGAAGATTCCTATCGTACATCCACATACAATGTTCCATCTACATATACAAACAACAAATTTATTATTCTTACTCATTTAATATTATAACAATTACAACAGAAGAAACATAGTTATTCTAAGCTAAATAGAATAAGACCAAATCTTATAGCAAAGGTTCAAGTTCTCCTTTCCGATACAGCTTAATAGTATCTGTAACCAAAGAAAAAAAACCACAACAGTAATTCAACTCCTCCGACAAGTTTTTTCATGTTCCAATAATTATGAATGTTATTCAAGTATTCAACAGTAGTTGGAGTTAATTGAGATATTGCAAAGATTGTCTAGAGAATTGAACTAGAAAAGGTACTCTGTTCATTAGCTATAAAGCTTTATCTTCATTAATTCAGCACAACTTCTGTAGGTACGACATACAATACCAACCACTCATTTATTTTACATTAATCCACAAGAGCCTGTTGCTAACGGTCTACAAACAGCCTCGCAAGATACTTAATAACTAGAACTCTTCACAAGGCCGACAATGTCGTAATATGTTATAAACTTGGGAATCAAGTCAAATCATTATTTTCAAGGAAAAAACATAGAATAGCAATACTTTGTTTCTGCAAATGCACGGTGAAAGCATAAGACTGATCAGAGAATGTACCTGTACAACCACCAATGTGTTTGGCCCCTGGTCATAGAGAAAAACACATTTATTACAAGTCCTTCATATAAACTAAGCAATAAAAATCAGCAACAAATGCCAACGGAATTTGAAAACAGGCACTTTCTTCGTTAAGAGGCAATATGCGTATTGTCAAACTATTCAAGCAGTTGTCTCTATTTTTATTTTTGTTTAGGCTTTGTAAATTCGAAGGAGTTCTTTATATTTTCCTCATGATATTAAACCAAGGTCTATAAACTGTCTTATCATACATACTGCCTCTTAAAGATGAAATATTTCCAAATACTTATGGTGCTCTCCGCGAAGACGGCTATTATTTATGAAAATTTCACACATAAAGAAGTTTGAGTTCATTTGAGTCTGGCCTTAAGAAACTCTACAATTAAAATCTGGTCTTCGTTGTATAGTGTCTTTCTTAAATGGGAAGTAGATGCTTATAGGACAGTGCAATTAACGCCGAAATCTCTCTCTAAACAGAAAAAAGATTCAGCATTCTCCAAGGGACTTCACACTTGACCCAATTCGGCTCTACTTAATTGAGTGATTGCAAAACCATTTTTGAAGAAGACTTGAGGATGGAATACTAAATAAAGCCCATCAAGGTCTAAGATTCATCTTTACCAGACCCTTCTCTTTCCTTTCCTCTTATCCTAAACCTCCCTTCTCCTTCACATTACTATGAGAATTTGTGAACTCAAACCACCCCCAAAAACGACCTCAATGGCCGACGATGGAAGAAAACTTACTGGAGATGGAGAGGAGTCTGAGTGTCGACGATGGCCGCTTATTGCCGTCGTCGACGACGATGGCCGCTTGGATTGAGTGCCGACGACGCCAGTGAAGCGGGGATTTGCCCTAGAAGCAGTGAGGCGGAGTGTTTAAGGTTTATGTTTATGTTTAAGCAGGGAGGCGGAGTGCTTATTTGTTAAACAAATTAATTTATGTTTAAATTTGGTTAAGTAATTAGCAAACATGTAATTATATAAACCAAAATTAATGACCCATAATTTTGGTGTAATTATCAATTTATAAGCTAATTAGTTATCACTGATACACTTCTACGTAATGTAATTAAAAATTTACAATGTAATTGAACCTAACATAACTTAAGGATACTAGCTAATTAATTATTAATATTAATTAACGATACAACTAATATATTTCTACTTACTTTAGTTATCAATTAAGATAATTAAATAATCACTAAGATTTTTCACGTATACCATTAATAAACTTCTACTTAGTGTTTAATTAACAATGTATAGGCTAGTAAATCACTAACATTACTTAAGGATATATTCTTAGTGCGTACACTTATACTTAGTATAATTATCAATATCTATAAGCTAATTGTAACTATTATACTTCTATACTTAATGTAATTATCAATGAATTGCCTAATAAATTATTAATATTAATTAATGATATTGCTAATATAGTTTTACTTACTTTAGTTGTCAATTTAAGATAATTAAATAATTACCAATATTTGTCAGTGTACCATTAATAAACTTCTACCTAGTGTGTAATTATCAATGTATAGGCTAGTGCATCACTAACATTACTTAAGGATGTATCCTTAGTGTGTACACTTCTACTTAGTGTAATTACCAATATCTATAAGCTAATTGTAACTATTACACTTCTTACTTAATGTAATTATCAATGAATTTCCTAATAAATTATTAATATTAATTAATGATATTGCTAATATAGTCTTACTTACTTTAGTTGTCAATTTAAGATAATTAAATAATTACCAATATTTGTCAGTATACCATTAATAAACTTCTACCTAGTGTGTAATTATCAATGTATAGGTTAGTGCATCATTAACATTACTTAAGGATATATTCTTAGTACACTTCTACTTAGTGTAATTATCAATCTATAAGATAATTATAACTATTACACTTCTGCTTAGTGTAACTATTAATATATAGGCTAATCAATTATTAACACTACTTAACGATATCACTAATAAACCTCTATTTACTTTAATTATCAATTTAGAGATAAAGAATCACTAACATTTCTCACAAATAGCATTAATATACTTCCATTTAGTGTATAATTATCAATGTATAGGCTAATCAATCACTAACATTACTTATATAAGGATGCCACTAGTCTACTAATACTTAGTGCTATTATCAATGTATACAGACTAATATATCAATCACCAACATTACTTACAAATATATTATTAATACACTTATACTTCATGTAATTATCAATCTACAAGCTAAATACAACTAATACACGTTTACTTAGTATATTATCAATGTGTATGATAATCAATCGTTAACGTTACTTAAGGGCACTGTTAATACACTTCTACTTACAGTAATTATCAATTTATAAGATAAACCATCACTAATATTTCTTACGAAAAACGACTAATACACTTCTTCTTAGTGTGTAACTATTAATGTATAGGTTAATCAATGTAGCTAAGGATGCTATAAATTCACTTTTACTTAGTGTAATTATAAATTACTAAGCTAATTACCACTAATATATTTTAAAGTTGTGTAATTACCTACACTTAAAGTAAATTTCAATAATAGGCTATAAACCACTACGATAATTAAGTAAATACTTATCGAGGGACTTACCGACGGCCTCCCTCGGTATAGTGTAATAAAAAATACAAAATAATTATGTATAAGATTATATATTTAAATTACCGATGGAAGTTCATCGGTATTGTAAGAACAAAATTCAAAATATTATGTAAATGCAATAACGATTGAATATGTCGATAACTTTATTTTCTTTTTCATTATTTTTTTTTAAAAGCACCGATAGCCACTGTCGGTACCTAAAAAAATAATTCAAAAATATAAATACAAAATGTTCCGAGGGAGTCCGTCGGTAAATTACCGACGGAGTGCATCGGTACAACCAATTAAATTTTGATCGGTCAAAATATCATTATTTACCGAGAGTTGTCCGTCGGTTATTTTTTAAAAATATTAGAAATTAAAAAGTTCAAAAGTACCGAGGTTATTTTTTAAAAATATTAGAAATTAAAAAGTTCAAAAGTACCAAGGGATTCCGTCGGAAAGTGCCTCAGAATACCGACGGAAAAAAGTCCGTCGGTACTGCTGCGTTGGTAAACGGCTGTTTTTTAGTGGTGATGTCTGCAATCTGATGCAAGGAAGAAACAAACTTTGTCACCATTGCACCTTGGACGACCTTCTTGCGCACAAAATGGTAATCAAGCTCGACATGTTTTGTACGAGCATGCATTACAGGATTAGCAGTAAGATATAAAGTACTAGTATTATCTGTGAAATGCAGTGGAGGCTGAGAAAGTGAAACACAAATATTTCTTAGTAAATATGTCACCCATGTAACATCCGCAGCAAGGAATGGCAAGGATCATACTCAGCCTCAGTGCTGAACTTAGCTACTGTAAATTGTTTAGAGGACTAACTAACACAATTAGAGCCAAGGAAAACACACATGCCTGTTGTGGACCTTCTAGTGAGTGGGCAGCCAGCCCAATCGGCACCGGAAAAATCAACTAAATTCAGGGAAGATTTTGCAGAGATGGGCAATCCTAAGTCAGTTGTTCCGATAATGTAACGGAATACTCTTTTAACTCCAGACTAATGAGAATCAGTTGGGCAATGCATAAATTGACATAAGAGATTAATGACATGCATGAGTGTAACTGTGTAAGATATTGCAAAGCACCAAATACGCTTCTATATTCCGAGGCAACTACTGTTGGTTCGATGGAGAATGTCTAGGATGTGTTTGCGTTGGCTAAGAAACAATCCATCATGACTACTCCGCTGCACCTCAACACCAAGGAAATATTGGAGGTTGCCCATATCCACCATTGCAAATTTTGAACGAAGCAATAAGCAAAGTGTTACATCCTGTCAAGATTATGTCGCCCACATTGAGAAGCAGCAAGATGGTTTCACTGGATGAATATAGCACGAACAGAGATGGATCAGCTTTGTTGCAAGAGAGTCCCAGATGAAAAAGATATGAGCTAAACTTTCTAAACCATTCCTCCGGAGCTTGCCTGAGTCCGTAGAGTGCCTTCTTCGGCAAGCATACATGATTAGGGAATATATGTGTATACGGTCAAAATCGATTTCGACCTTCGTATGATTAGTCAAGATTGGAACATAATGGACCGAAGGTCATCTTCATAATATCGGGTATAAGATCCGAAACCAGGTTACCGAGCTCAAATTCCTGGGACCAATCAAATACCGAACTCGAAGTCATTACCGAGCTCGAATCCAAATTGAACTATGATGCGAAGCCAGCGTTATCGAGCTTGAGAGCCAGAGACTGGCCAATACCGAGCGCAAGTCAATATCGGGCCCCGAATCAATATCGAGCTCAAGTCAATATCAGGCTCTAAATCTGGAAACTAACCAAAACCAAGTCCGATCAAGATCGAGCCAAGTGACAAAAGCCGTTACAGCCGCACTAAGGGAGAGAATCTCGGCGGGAATTAGAGAAAAACTAATCTATTATAGGTTCTCACTATGTATTTTTAATTATATCCAAAGTAGGATCCCTCCACTATAAGAGGCATGGCTATTATTTCTGTAAGGGGATCCAACATAAAGGCATACATACACTCTCATATTCAGATATTACCATTCACAGAGAAATACAGTAGAACAGAGAAATACAGTAGAGATTATACTCTTGTGAGCTTTATACATTGATTCATCTTGCTTGTTCATAAAATCGCATTCTATTCAATATTGGTTCGTATTTCATTCTTTACAGTCAATATTCGATATATTTCTACTTACTTTTCTGATTTGTGCCAAGTTATCCCACGTACCCTTAGAACTACGTATAAATTCAACTCTATCCTTTTTTCGGGTAAACAATATGATTAATGAAACCTGGATTGCTCCATGAACACAGTCTCCCTGAGCTCTCTATGTAAAAATACGTTCTAGACGTCAAGTTGCTTGATGCTCCAGTATGGGGTGGTAGCGATGGATAGCACAAGTCGGATATAACCCTTCAAGTTGATTATAACCCTTAGCAACTAGGCCAGCTTTAAAATGCTCCACAGATCTATCCGGATTGAGTTTTGTCTCGAAAACCCATCGAGACCCAATAAACTTTCATGTGAGGTTGCCGAGACACCAGCAGCCAAGTGTTATTGGACTTTAAAGTACTCAATTCTTCATTCATTGTAGCCAACCCGTGTGGTTTATATAGGGTTGTTTTAGTATTTTTGTGTTCAGTTGTATTAGGCTCCAAGGTAACTGTGAAGTCTAAGGATTGGAAAATGGGACTGGGCGTGGACTGTCTTTGTTCGTATGAGCATAAGGTGAGTATTCTATGTAAAATAGGTAGGTTGTACAGGTTCATTAGAAGTGGTTTCAGGAAAAGGTGGTAGCTCTAAAAATAGATCAATGCCTTGAATATTAGATATGTCAAGGTTAGAGGAGGAGGTTACCGATTGTGAGGGTGAAGAATGATCACTGGTTGATTGGGAAATTGAAGCTGGTGAGTTTAACACTGGTGAAGGCACAGTGCTTGATTCTTGGACTTGAGATGAATTAGATAAATCATTGGTTACATGATGTTGGTTAGATGAATCTGCCTATCAAAAATCCACCAATGGTCATGATGGCACCTAATGTATCAACTAGCCGAACTAATAATCTCAAATCACTAAATAAAATCAATAGCATAGATATAACAAGTCTAAATAGGTGCAATAACATCATAGATAAGGTTAAGTCTCATAACCGAGTACAAAAACACCAACATTCCTGAATCTGGTGTCACTAATTACATGATCCTTTAAGAGTAGCAAAATACAAGGGCTAGAATAAGTACAGTACTGTCTGAATCAAATAACAGTAAATATGTAACGACTTGACCGGTCGATTTGAGCTTAGCCT